GGATTGGGACTGTGGGTTATTCTTAAATTGGGGTCCATTTTAGGGTCCCTTTTATAAGGGTGCCATACTATATTAGGGACTCAGCTGGGTTTAGGGTTTAGGGTTTAGGGGTTTAGGGGTTTAGGGTAAAGGGTAAAGGGGTTTAGGCTCTAGGGGTTTAGGGTTCAGGGTTTACGGGTTTAGGGGTTTAGGGCGTAACAACAATTACAGCCCTCTTGAAAGAAGACTCTGTCTATGTAACTGTCCATATATACATACACACATACATCATACACACATACATACGTACGTACCTACATACATACGTACATACATACCTACGTACATACATACATAATTTCATACGTTCATACATACATTCATTCCTTCATACATACAAACATACATACATACGTACATACATACAAAAGAACAACAACACCCTTTCAAAGCTTGACCCGAGAACCTTTATAGAACCCTTGTCACAGCACCCTTCTCGAACCCAGATTCAAGATGCCTGATTATAGAACCTTTCTTGTAGAATCCTCGTTTGTTATAGAACCCCAAGCCCTAAACCCGAAACCCTAACCGCCAAAGGCCAGGCCCTAAACCTAGACCCTAAACCCTACACCCCAAGCCCTAAACCCCACTTTAAATAGAAAGTGGCCTCCTCCTTCGTCACCTGCGATGCACTGACGGGCTGCGGAAGCGAGTGCTCCGGCAGGAAGCTCAAGAGCCTTGCTTGCTGATGTTTAGGGTTTAGGGTTTAGGGTTTAGGGTTTAGGGTTTAGGGTTTGTTTTTGAAGCATTATGGCATTGGGCTTTAGGCTTCCTTTGAGGGTTCCTTGAAGGGTGGGGTTTAGGGTTTGGGGCTATAGGACTTTAGGACTTCCAGGCTTTAGGGTTTTAGGTCTGCTGCATTTAAGGCTTCAGGGCTTTAGGGGTTTAGGGTTTAGGGTTTAGGGTTCAGGGTTTAGGGTGTTCAATGCAGAGTTCAAACGATGTGTTCTAGGGTTGCAAGGCTGTTTCGCCTCAGGATTTTAGCACAACATGATTCAATGATTGTAAGGGTATTCTTTAAATGGATGCTTTCGTAGGTTGAGGGCTTCTATGCC